TCTGAGCTTGTAGACATGAGATGGATGATCTGGATCTTCAAATCCTTTCGGTTGAGCCACATAAATATCTTCATGCAGATATCCATTCAAAAATGCTGTCTTAACATCCATCTGAAACAGTGTGAATCCCAGAATACATGCAACTGCCAACAAAATACTGATTGACTCTAACCTTGCCACAGGAGCAAATGTTTCATCATAGTCAATTCCCTCTACTGAGTGTATCCTTGAGAAACTAGCCGAGCTTTGTGCCTTGCAATATTTCCAGCTTCATCAGCTTTATTTTTGAAGATCCACTTTGTTGTGATTATGTTGACACGATCAGGTCTTGGTACCAGATCCCAGACATGATTCCGGTCAAATTGGTGCAGCTCCTCTTGCATAGCCTTGATCCATAGATCATCTTGTAAAACTTCTTTTACACTTTTTGGTTCTATTTATGAGGTATAGCAGGCTGATCCGAATAATTCCAATAATGCAAAAAAATAATTGAAATATTAAGTTGTTTCTAAGTAATCAAAAGAAGATTAAATAAACTTTAAAAAAAAAAAACTTAACCTAAATTTAAAAAAAAAAAAAAAAAAAAAGTCAAGGAAATTAAATGATTTATAATCTTTGATGCTCAACTTTGAATGCTATGTATTTAGTTGGGCTAATTATTTGACCAAAGTTTATGTTAAATTTTATATTATATATATTTTTAATACATTTTAACATATTCATAATATATGTTTAACAATTATGTCAACTCTAATTGGGATGTGGTTCCAACCTAAGACCTTTTCTTATATAAATTAATGAGTATGTTAAGAATAATAAATAGTTAACAGAATATTCTGTTACTAAAATTTATACTAACGGAATTTGGGGTTATTTAAGGGAAGAAAATAATATAATATAGGGTAAATAAGGAAAATTATTAAAAAATACTAAAATCAAAATAATATGAACCATTCATTTTAAGAAACAACTACTACCGGACATTTTTTTGTTCCAGTTAATGGCCTAACATTATTGGCTCATTTGTAAAAATGTTTATATGTGGTGTTCAAACAACTCCACGACATTTTCCTCCCTGCCTCTTGTTCGTCTCTCCTTCCTTGACGCCGGCAAGCAGCAAAGATCTCTGGCGAGCAGCAGATCGGTTGGCGGCGAACCAGCAGCAGCTTCACGACCATAGACCACTATCAGCCTCCATGAGCCACCACCCTCAACCCCCATCTCTCTCGTTATTCTTGCTCGACCAGCTACAGGCAAAGGAGGGTGGCAAACTAGCGTGACGGCGACGGGTAGCCGAGATGGAACCCCTCCGGCGAGCAGCAGCAGCGGCGGTCGTCTTCACCGCCATTCCCCTGTTTTTTCCGGCATAGGTAACGACTGAACAGAGCACCCCTTGTAACATTTTCTATTATGTCACCATTAAGTGGTGCAAGTTAATAGGCCATTTATGGTCATTATGATTGTGGTTTGAAACGGAAGTAACGGTTTCCGTTACTTAACCTATAATGATGGCACGTAGGTTATATATATGTTTCGTCCTCCCAGTGCTCCTGTGATTTTTGTGACTACACCATCTAGTTGAACAGAGACCAAGTGGTAGACAAAACACCATAGTTCCTTACGATTCTTGAAGCAATGCTATAAAGATGTCAACTATGGCTAGAGGTGCTCGATCTTATTGGCTTCCGCTATGAGGTTAGATCATTACATGTATTATACTTGTATATTTATTCTAACATTTGGTATCAGAGCCTATTTATCTCTGCCTAGTTGTTCAAATTGCTTATGCTTTGCAATAATCTATTCTGAAAAATAGAGTAAATATCATGTTCATACGCAATTTGAATGCTGATTTATATATTATTGGGTAATGATAATTACAATCTAAAATCAAAAATATACAACAGCAGAAAATAAATCAGGCATCGTGCAAACACGTTTAATCTAGCATGAACACACCCACGAAACTAGATCAAATTAACAATTGATGCAGTTTTGACAAGAAACTAGATCAATCAACACAAAAAATCAAAAGCACAATGGATGCAAAAACAAGATAGAAAACTAAAATATTATTGAGTAATGACAATTGCAATTTCAAAAGTAAAACCACAAACCCATAATCTGCATGTCAACCCCAAAATTGAGAAAAAAACAACGAACCTCCATCCCCAAACGACGAACAGTCCACCCTATTCTGGCCAAAACCTCTACTATTCGAGGAAACCTGACAACACCAACAACCCCTAATATGCCCGTCACCCAAAATTGAGACAAAATTCGCCAACCCTCAAACGATGAATATAAACCCTAATCTGCCCAAAATCACAAAATTGGAACAAACACAGAAACTCAAAAACTTTAATTTGCTCGTCACCCCCCAAATTGAGACAAAAGAATTAAAACCCACCCCCACCCACGACAAACAGAGAAACGATAATCCGAACAACAACAAAAAGACAAAAATGGGGGAAAACATACCGCGGCCGAGAACAATAAAAAGAATACATCGACCTACACCCCGAGATAGTTGTTCCAGGCACTTGGCTCCATTGTGGTCACCACCGATGACCATCGTCCGCCGGTGATGAAGAGGAAGGAATCGAACGGCGTATGGGAGTTGAGCGGCATGTGTGTGCTAAACAGAGAGAGAAAGGTTGGGCTCAATAATTAACCCAGGTGTGTGGAATCTGATAAAATTACATCAAGAGTTAAAACCCAAAAATATCCCCACGTTAATAATAAAAACTAGCGCACAACATTTAAATCCCCCATAAATCATTAAACCAATCCTATTCATCCAATCCCAAATTCTAACGATCCTAAACAATCCACACGTTTGTATTTTAAGGACTGTTTGTATTTGAATATAATCCTATATATATATATATATATATATATATATATATATATATATATATATATATATATATATATATATAATGAGCTATTTTAGCCTCACTACTTCCAAATCATACATACAAAATTCCTTTTGCATTAGACGCTTTAGAGCTGAGGTTGTTCTTAGAAACATACAGACTATATCTTTGTTGTCACTGTTGGAAATCTTGCGTTTTCCTTCCAATATTTCTGTCCAACATTAATGTTGGTCGGTAATCTAATAAAAATCTCAACTTTACGCCAGTAAATTTTTGTGGACGGAAAGTTGGACAGAACTTCCGTTCAACCTGGATGTTGGACGGAGATTCCGTCCAACGTATACTATTGGTCAATAAATTTGAATTGACGGGTAGGTGAGAAGTAAATGTGGTAGGTATTCTTCCTGTCCAACAACAATGTTGGACGGAAATAACGGTTTTTATATCTACCCTGCGTATTTCAGCTCACTTTTTTCAACTTTTTTCTTCACTACTCTCTTCTCTTGCTTCTTCATGGGTACTTGACAACATAAAAAGTGATTTCCAACGAAGTATATTCCAAATTCAGGTATGATTTGAGTATAATAGCTTTTAATTTGTGTTTGTATTTTTTTAAATAGTTATATATACTCTTGCAATGCTATTATATTTTTTTTTATCATTGTTGTATATATTTTAATTGAGTTATATATATATATATATATATATATATATATATATATATATATATGTGTGTGTGTGTGTGTGTGTGTGTGTGTGTGTGTGTGTGTGTAAATATATATATATATATATATATATATATATATATATATATATATATATATATATATATATATATATATATATATATATATATATATATATATGGATTAATATTAATTAATTATTAGTTCTCTAATTTCCTAACTATTTTTATTAGATACATTATTAATTAAATTGACAAATGCTGATAATTATTAGATTAAATAATGTTTAACTGTTATCTAACAAACTAACAGTATATAATCAAATAGATTAACATTTAACTATTAGAGTCTTCTGTTTAATGTGCCTGAGATTTGTACTTAATGTGCATGAGTAGTTCAGAATTACGAGCTCACAATGAAGCAGAACAAAAAATTTTCACAGTCTCCTTTTTCACAATCTTTGAAGCTTTCATTAGCAGCTTCGCTCTCATTAGCAGCCCCTCAATATGCAAAGCAAAACAAGACAAAATTCATTCCTCTACCACTTCGAAACAAAAACAAGAAGAAAATGCAGCAGTGGATGCACATAATTTTCACAGCAGTTGATGAAGAACACACTCACGCACATTAAGCACACAACTCACGCACTTTAGGCACAACACTCACTCACCATAAGTAAAAAAACTCACGCACATTAACATTACACATTCACGCACATTAAGTACAAATTTCAGGCACATTAAACACAATACTCACGCACATTAATCAACCGCACATGAAACTTTCACTATATATATATATATATATATATATATATATATATATATATATATATATATATATATATATATATATATATATATATATTATAGCTACAAAATTAATATGGTGGTGCATTGTTATTAGTATATAGATTAAACATTTTTATTAGATATATTTGTGATTTTGAGATATTTGTACTTTAATACTAGGTATATATGGAAAGTATACCAGAACATCGAAAATTGATGTATAATCGATTGTTACCTGGAAAGAGGGGAATCACTTATGAGTTTTTAGTTGGTGTTGTGCAATTTGTTAAGTATGCATGCACACTTGCTGTATACCAGTTGACAAATACAATTAGGTGTCCATGTAGTAAATGCAAGAATAGAGTACACTTATCTGCTGATGATGTCCGTGTTCACTTGTATAATAAAGGATTTGAGCCGTATTATTGGGTGTGGACTTGTCGTGGTGAACCTATTCCTATAGTAAACGAGCAAGTTTTGGAGACACGTAACAAAAATAATCAATATGAAACAATGGTGTTTGATGTAGGTGGTTCATCATTTGTTCCATTTCATGTGGAAAATAACTAAGAAGAAGAGCCGCATACAAGTGCACAAAACTTTTATGATTTGTTAAACGCGGCTAGACAACCTTTGTCACCTAGTTGTGTTGATGAAACAGAGTTGTCATATGCATTAAAGATGATGAATATAAAGGAAACTTTTAACATTCCACAGCTAGCTATAGATCAAATATTTGAGTACAATAAGCATATAATGGGTCCAAATAATCGAGTGCCATTTAGTTATTATGATTCAGAGAAATTGATTTCAAAGCTTGGGCTCGATCATGAAAAGATTGATTGTTGTGTTAATAGTTGTATGTTGCACTATAAGTCTGATATCAATGAGAGACATTGTAAGTTTTGTGGCGAGGCTCGGTTTAAACCACGACCGCCTACTTATGCTTGTGGGAAAGAAGTTCCTAAGAAAAGGATGCATTACATGCCTCTCATCCCTAGATTGCAACGATTGTATGCATCACAAAGTTCTGCTGAGCACATGGGGTGGCATTATGAAAATCGCCATCAACCAGGTATAATGTGTCATCCTTCAGATGGTGAAGTGTGGAAACACTTTGATACTCAGTATCCCGACTTTGCAGCAGATCCTCGGAATGTAAGACTAGGTTTGTGTGCTGACGGGTTTTCTCCTTTTGGTTTAAATGCTAAATCATATTCTTGTTGGCCGGTTATGGTTGTTCCATATAATCTTCCACCTTCAATGTGCATGACTACCTCGTATATATTCTTAACTAGTATTATTCCTGGGGAACACAACCCAAAGGCGAATATTAATGTGTATCTGCAACCTTTAATCGATGAGCTTAAGTTGCTATTGGATATAGGGGTTTTAACTTATGATGTATCATTAAAGCAAAACTTTATGATGCGAGCTATGTTGATGTGGACCATCAATGACTTTCCTGCCTATGGTATGTTATCTGGATGGCAAATAACAGGAAAACTAGCATGCCCTTATTGCACTCATTATACTAAATCTTTCTATTTAAAGAATGGGCGTAAAACAAGTTGGTTTGGTTGTCATCAACAATTTCTTCCAATGGATCACCCTTTTAGAAAAAATCGTGATTCCTTCTTAAAACATCGAGTAGAGAAATCAAGACTCCTAAGGATTTTGACAGGGGAAGAGTTGTTGCCTACTATTGAGATGCTGCCAAAAATTACTAATGGGCCAATCGGTCGACTTGAAGGGTTTGGATGTTCACATAATTGGAAGAAAAGAAGTATATTATGGGATTTACCATATTGGAAAGATAACCTCATCCGTCATAACCTTGATGTCATGCATATAGAGAAGACTGTGTTTGATAACATCTTCTACACATTTATGGATGTTAAAGGATCTAGAAAAAATAAAGACACATATGCTGGCTCGTTTGGATATAAAAGAGATATGTCATAGACCACAACTCGAATTGGTGGAACATAATGGTCGATGTCTTATGCCGAAGGCGAGTCACAGTTTGAGCCGAGATCAGCAGGCTGTTGTGTACGAGTGGTTACTATTATTATTTTTTAAAAAAACTTCCACTTTGGTATATCTAAAATCTCTTTGGCCTGTGAGAGAGAGAGAGACAAAGAGAGATGAGATTTTGTTCTGGAACACAAATATGCATTTTATACTCTGATCTGCATGCCAAAACTGCTTGCTTTTGTAAATCCATCAAATTGTAAGTCTGCCAAAGTGTAAGTTGTCTATGTATATATATATTTGTAGGGTGAAATGAAAGGGTACTAGTAACCCAGTTGCGGAGTTTCTTTTCATTCACAAGTTACAATTGCCATGCTAACTTTCCTGTAGAAATTTTACTTTGATGTGGTCTTATGTGTAACTAGTTAATGTTAGAAAAGTGTGTAAGCATATGTTATAAGCTCCCATCACAGGCTCAAGAATAAAGAAAATAACGAAAGAACAGCTGCTAGATGAACAAGAAAAGTAGAGATGGGTTTGCTTGAGATCCAAACTCACTTTTTTTTTTTTTTTTGTTGAGTTTGTCTCATATATGGATTAGGAATAAGAGTTTGTCTCATATAAGGATTATGAATATGAGTTTGTTTCATATAAGGAATATGAGTGAAAGGGAGATTATATGCCTATAAATATAATCAATGTATCTCATCACCTGGATCACCATCACAAATAATAAGAGAATTGTTTCACTCCCTTGGATGTAGGCACATTGCCGAACCACATAAATCTTGCTTTTCTTTACCTTTTTTTCCATTATTATTTTTTCTTGTTCTTGTTAATCTCAACAAATTGGTATCAGAGCACTGTTGAGATGACTAGTTCAAGTACAAAATTCGAGGTATCAAAGTTTGATGGCATAGGGAATTTTGGGTTATGGCGGTTTAGGGTAAAGGATTTGTTGGCATATCAGGGCCTTCTGAAAATCTTGAAGGTGGAAAAGCCAGCTAATTTGGTAGAGGCTGATTGGAAGGAGTTGAAGAAGCAGGAAGCTACGGACGTGGTACATGTTGATGACTCTTATTATAGTGAAGGTGATGTTCTAGCGGTAACTAGTAACAAGTTCGAACATTGTTTGGACTTGTTGGGCGTTTCTAGATGCTAGATGAGAAGGTGGTGAGGGGCGCTGTAGTGTTGGGTAGCACGGATACCAGGAGGGGTCGCAGACCTAGAATGGGTTAGGCTCGTCATGAGTCACGGATGGTATGGGTTGGGCTTGTCATGAGTCATAGCTGGTATGGGCTGGGGTTGTCGTGAGTCACGGCTAGTATGTGCTGGGCTAATATGGCTTGGTGTGACGGATTGCTTGCGATGAAGCAGTTCGTGAACATGCACGGGGAAACGTTTGATGCTGCGTGGTGCGTGTTGCTAGCTAGTGGCAATTACTGGTTAGTGGAGCATTGGGCAAGGCACACGGGTTTAGTGTGACTTTGCAGGGGCGCTATTGTGTTTGGGCAGCGTGGATACAAGGAGGGGACATGGACCTGGTATGGGCCAGATGCAGGAAGTCAGCTAAACGGGGCAGTAAGCATGAGTTGCGGCTGGTATAACAAGTTGACGGCTGAGGGAGAATGGCTTGGGACGAAGCGATTCGTGTACATGCACTGGGTAACGTTTGATGCTGCGTATGCATGCGGCTGGCTAGTTGGGATGAGCATGGTTCTTCCTACCCATGTGTATAGGTGGAGATAGTCTTTTCTCCTAAAGGGCATGTATGTGAAGGTGGAGATGGTGAGATAAGTCTTTTCTCCTAAAGAGCATATTCGTCAAGGTGGAGATTTGTTGAGTTATCTTTTCTCCTAAAGAACATATTCGCCATGGTGGAGATTGTTGAGTTTGTCTCATATATGGATTAGGAATAAGTGTTTGTCTCATACTAGAAGTAGGAGTGAAACAGGTAGACCTATTGTACAGGGATTAGATGCCTATAAATATATTGGTTGTATCCCTAAGGGGTTGAGTCACCACTATTATCATCACTATGAATAAGAGAATTTTTTCACTCCCGTGTGTGACACTCCGTAATCCAAAATCGATTAAGGGATTAATTAATTAATTAATCCTAATTCAATTGGTATCTTAATTCCTAAAAATCCTGAAAATTCAATAGTCAGGGACTAGTAATTAACTAGTCAACCCCAAAGTCAAGGTTGTACCTTAAGCTTTGTGAGGAGTTCCCTGTCCCCTTACACCTCTTCATTTTAGTAAGGTTATTCATGACTTTTCACCTTGTGTTAGTAATGCAAGCTAACCTAGTAGACAATCCTCATTTCTCTCCTTACACTTTCCAAACTTTGGCTCTACCTTCTCTCTAAAAAGGTAGATAGCTTTTCTTCCAAGCCAAGTTGAAGCTTTGTCAAATCTTCAAGAGTTGTCTCCAAGATTCTACCTTTCATACATTTGGGCATCTAGGAGGGTAAGATCAATGTTCATCTTGTGTTTTTAGTTTTTTCTAAGGTGTCTTTTCTTAAAGATAGAATCTTTATGATCTTTTGGTGTGTTCTTGAAGTGGGTTTGGAAGGTGAGCCTTATTAGGAGCTTGGTGAGGTGTTAAGTGAAGGTTTTTGTCTACAAGAGGTAACCCATGCTCTACAAAATCTATTTTGCTTACCTATATGATGATTTCTTGGATTCTACATATGATTTTGCTATGAAATGTGAGTGTTGATGCATTGTCTTGTGAAAATGCATATCTTGAGCTTGTTATTAGGGTTCATGTGTGCCATTTCTTGGCTATTCTTTTGATTCAAGTCATTTTGTTGTATTTGGTGAGATTTGGCATGTTTTGGACTTGAATTTGAGCTTGGAGTTGAAAATCCCCGAAGGGATATTTTTGGTACAGGAGTTGTACCCGCAGGCGGAACGGCGGGTAGTGTACCACCCGCCGCCCCACCCGTGGGGTACACACCTCGTGGGACAGTGGTTCCCGCAGGTGGAACCATGGGTGGGGGTCCACCCGTGGCCCCACCCGCGGGGTAAAATGTGGACTTGGGTAGGGATTTGTTCCCCGTGATTCTTTTGATTCGGTATTTGGTCTTTTGACTTCCCGATGTTCTTTTGTGGAACTATTTGAACATCTTCTTGATGTTTCGTATGTCTAGAACTATATGGTAGGATTCCATGTAGGTTTTGGTGTCTTGAATCGTGCTAAGTGTTCAACATTGTGATTCGTTGAACCGTGATGAGTCTTGTGTGTTCTTCAGAACTATGTTGGTTTACCCGTTTGATAAGCATGCTAGTTCGGTGTTTAAATGCTAGCGTGTGTGTTATTTGTCCTTTCCTATTGTTGATGACGACTTGTGTTAATCATCGTTGTTGTTGGACTGTGATCCTTTCCTTGATTGAATATGGTTTCATATCTTCGTTGTGATCCGTTGATTGATTCCTGTTGTGGTGTGGTGTGTGTGTCTGTACCTGGATTGCACGATTAGTGGTATGGGACACTAGTCACCAAGGTACGGCAGTGGTCCTCGTGGTGTCCATGACGTAATTATGGAGTTGGTGACCTTTGTGTAAGGTTCACGTATTTCTTGGGTGGCATGTGTTGCCGTGTGTGTGATCGGTACCCTCGTGTACTATGAAATAGGTGGTTCTGTTGGAGATCTATCGGAGAGGGGACGACGGTCCTCGGAGGGAAAAGGTTGGACTAAGAAGTACAGGAGTCCTGGAGGTAAAGGTTGGAACTAGACATAAGGTTAGGGGTAGCCATAAGGTTGGAACCGGGCATAAGAAAGGCATATCAATTCGTGATGGGTGATGTCACGAAGGCTTTTGTAGCCGTTGTTGTGAGTTCTCTTCTTGTGACGTGTGTTGTCACAAAGGCATGTGTTGCCATTGGTCGTGTCCTTATTCTTTTGAGTTGTGCATGCCGGGTGTTAATCTATTGTGTGATGATAGATTATACCTTGAGCCGTCCTTGTGAGTCGTTGTTGTTCTTCGTAGTCTTGGGATGTGTTCCCTTATCTTGTTGTGAGTGCTCTGAGTCTTGTGTTAACCTTTGCTCTTTGTTTTGAACTTTTATATATATATATATATATATATATATATATATATATATATATATATATATATATATATATATATATATATATATGTATTCCGTTTTGCAAATGACTTTACAAATGTATATCTTATCTATGTATGATATTTCACATGTATTGGTGGGTTACCAGCATTATTCGCTGACCGGGCGTCGTCCCATCTTTTATGTGTTTCTTTCAGGTGATGTTTAGACGAGAGCGATGTTTAGTGACAGCTAGTGTAGCTCCTTTCTTGTGTTTTGTGGCCTGTGAGCCAAGAATAGACTTAGTACTTTGAACATGTATGATTTTAGATGTTGGATTATGCAGATGTTAGCCTGTGCGTTCGCCACTAGGTGAGCGTGGCATAGCACCCCTTTTACTTCCGGTTTATATATTCCTCTTTCAGTCTTCCACTGTGTCTGATGTTTTGTTTAGATATCTGCATATTTAAGGCTTTAAATAGCTTGGAAATTAGGAGGTGTTACACCATGGATGTAGGCACATTGCCGAACCACGTAAATCTTGCTTTTCTTTACCCTTTTTGCCATTATTATTGTTTCTTGTTCTTGTTAATCTTAACATTTTTTATTCAAAAGAGAATATATTAATATATATCCAAATTCTTCATTTGTAAATCTGATAGAAAATAAATTAATTGATTGAGATAATCAATATTAAGGCTACCTACTTACTACCAACACATCTATTTTTGCTAATTAATAGCCACAAACCTAAGCTAATTAAGCAACTGCGGGCATATATAAATTAATCAAAGTTATGCATGAGTGAAGCAGCACTGATATTTGATCATCGGAACGTAGAACTCATCACTGCATTCATCTTTGATCTCTGCATTAGCATAGATTACATTAGCTCTTGCTTCAACTAATCATTTTGTCTGTAGGCTGATGAGGAACCATTTGCAGCTGCCTCTATTGCTCAAGTAAACCATGCTGTGTTGAGAGATCATCAAGAAGTGACTGTCAAGGTTTGTAAACTGGGTATAATTTATGCTTGAAGTTCCATTAATTCATAACTCATATTTTCTTTGCTGATCGCTTTTATATTATTTAGATGTCACAATAGCGTAAAAGAAATAAAGGTAAAGGTAAAACAGTTACGGGTAGTCATTTAGAAGCTGACATCTCACAACTGCCATCGTTGCATGCATTAATTAATGACCCGGAAGAAGGAAATACAGCTGTAATGGAAACACCATGTAATCAAGCCCAGAGACGGTTGGAGGACACTGACTCTGAGCGTACTCCCTCAAGTTCAAGGCCCACAGAGCATACCGAAGAGCCTAGTGAGCATACTTCTGATGCAGCTTCCGGGCGTATTGATGAAGCTGCTTTAAGTGGAGGAAGAGAGGGTATGACAACAGAATCATCACCAAGCACGATTCCAACAGACCGATTTAGGACTTTTATTCGCACAGTTGGCGGAGCTGCGTAAAACTTCATTTAATTTAATTTATGATTTTTGCTAAAATTAGTTTAGCTAATTAGTATGATGGATTTTAAGTAATTGTTTACATGCATTAGGAAAGTGATTATGCAGTCCAATAACTGTAATTATTTTTTGCCATTCTTTTTGCATGATAATTAAGATTTGAGCCTCATACAGCACACCATCAGATCATACTTTGTATACAACGGATGTTCACACAGCCAATAAAATCATTTAAGCACGCTCCTCAACATTTGAAAGATGTGTGGTTTAATGAGTTTAGGGTAAGTAATGTGAAATCACTTCTTTTTGTGACTCAATAGCAGAATTTACAAAACATTCATGATTTTAAAAGTTTATTTTAATTGTTAATAGAAAAAGCATCGTTTGGATACATTGGAGGAGGATATTGTTCGCCGCATATATTAGAAAAAGGTGCAAAGTTGCTTTCAGACCATCTTCGACTAGCTCGTGAGGGCTTGGCAAAAAATAGCACCAAACCAGACTGGATTTCAGAGGACGTGATGGCTGGCTTAATTTGCATTTGGGAGAGTGAGGAGTTCAAAAAGCTCTTCAAAAAAAAACAAGAAGAATAAAAATTCAGATTGCGGCGGACTAGGTGCATCACTTCATAGCTCTGGTTCTATTCCAATGACTGAGCATCGTAGAAGATTGGTAAGTTTGAAAATAATTAATATAGTTTATCTTATAATATTATAATAAGTATGTTGTGTATTTGGTATATTGTTCTTGAATATAAGGAAAAGTTTGGAGAAGATCCAAGTCATGCAGCCTTGTATGAACACACTCATAAGCGCAAAAATGGAAATGGAGCATATGTTTGTAGAAAAGCATAGAAAGTTGTTGTAAGAAATATTCTTCTTATTACTTCTATTCTAACTATCACATGAAATTATTTTAGTATGTGAACATTCTTTGTCTTATTCTATAGGATACAACGAATGACTAACGACAAACTCAGCCTAGTATATCAAATGCACAGTTGTGGTTGGAGGCCACCGGCGGTGTAAAGAGAGGAGGCTATGTATATGGGTTTGGCTCAGATACCCAGTATTATTTCCCGGAGGCTTCAAGGGTTTCAAATTCTAAATCAGGAGTGTCATCTTCGAATGCAGCTTTGATAGCAGAAATTCAAAAAATGCGGGAAGAGAACATGATGTTCCAAGAGCAGGTTGAAAAGATGGGTGCTATATTTGCACAGTTCAGTCCGAATTCTCAATGGTTAGCCTCCTTGAGCGTAAAAAACTCTACTTCAACAAATGATGAAACACAAGCAGCTAGTGATGAAGGCTAAACGATATATATTTTTATGACTTTTTGTTGTTGTGTGGTAATACTCTTACTACTATGTAGTTTTTATTGGTTAAGCACACTCCAAGTCCCTAATCCGGTAGTTTTTTTTTTTTTAAAGGCCTAACCTAGTAGTTAGTAAAGGTAGGTTTGATGGGAGAAACTCGTACATGCTTGTTCATGTTCCTAACATGATTTTGGTGTATGAAAATAGCATGTTGTTGGAAGTACTATGAATATGACTATATTTTTGTTGTAAATATTTTTTATGTTTACATATATTTTCAATTTCAAATTTAGTGTGCTCATTAATTTGTTGGTGATATAAGTTATTAATAATAGGTAGAAATAAAATTATGATGATATAAAAATAATAAAAATATTTAATATGATTTAAGTTTTTCCTACCAACAGTTGGAAGGAAATTTATAACATTTAGTACTTGATATTTCCATCCAACAATTGAAAGGAAAACACAAAAGTATGATATGCTCATTTTCCGTCCAACGTTGGTCGGAACTTTCGACGAACACAAAAAACTGGACGGAAATTCCCACGATTTAAAATGGTGGGTTTCTATCCGGAATTTCCGTCCAATTTTTGTTCGTTGGACGCTATTTTCGACGACAAATTGTTGTTCGACGGAATTTCCGACAATGGTTTTTCCGAACGTTCGTTTTGGTCGGTATGTTGGACGGAAACGTTGTTTGTGACCAATATATCGCGTTTTCCGTCCAACGTTAACGGAAAACGCAAGATTTCCATCCGTGGGTGTCCAAAGTGTTATACAAAGGATCTTTTTACAAGGATTTCAAATTTTAAAAAATTGGGGAATCAAGGTGAAATGAATTTTGAAAATGAAAATTCAAATGGTTTCTATAATTTTGTGCACTTGGGACAGCTTGTGAAACTAAGCACTAAAGATCAAAGTGGCATCTCAAACTTCGGTATAGGGGCATCTCTTGGACAACTTAGTTTTCTACCAAATCTTAAGAAGCTCAAATTTTTCATGATTAGGTTGCCATGGAGTAATATGAGGCTTATTGGTATGTTGCCAAATCTAGAAGTTCTAAAATTGATACAAGCTTGCTTAGGTGAATAGTGGGAGCCATATGAGGAAGGGTTTCGTCAATTAAAAAGGTTGGTAATTGAAAGCAAGTGTACATCTCGTATACTGGAATGCTATGGGAGACCATTTCCCTATTCTTGAACATTTAGAGTTAAGTGGTTGCTATTTGTTGCGAGAGATCCCTGTTGAATTTGCTGTTATCACCATACTTAGCTTGCATTGATTCAGTTAAAGAACTGTTGTTTTATTCCATTTGGCTTCCGCAAGGTGTATTCAAGATGAGCAGCGAAGCTATGGAAATGATGGCCTTCACGTTAGTTTGTTGCAAATATATTCAGGTCTCTCCCATTCCATGCAAATATATTCACCTCTCCCGTTCCATGCAAATATATACGTTCCAAATGGCATGTGAATGTTTAACATTTCATGCAACATAAAAGGGGAACGTTGTTTCGTAAATAGCTGTTAGCTGATTGGGTTAGCGTGTTTGACTAGTTGATAACATTAGTTGATTGTAGAAAAGTATTTGATAAATTAGCAGTTAGCTGATAGCTTATTACATTCAAAATGACTTTTTGAAAAAAGTTGATCGAAAAAGCCAATTTGAGCAGCTTTTTGAATTTTAGCATTTTGGAGCAATAAACTGTTACAAAAAGTTAATTAATCAAATACTTATATTGATTGTTTAATCAAGTCAAACACCTAATAGTAATCAAATTAAATAAGTCAAAATTAGTTGTTAAGCTAACTAGGTTACCAAATAGGGCCAAAATCTTCACCCGAGTCCACAGCAAAACCAATCTCTAGTAAGGTGGTGTGTCCTCAACCAGTCGTTATATTATAGACCGCGGTGCATGTGCACCGCGGTCAAAAACGACGCAGTTTCTTTAAGTAAAGAAACGGCCCGCCGTTAGAGTTAACGGAGTCCGTTTGTTTGGTATATTAAATACCAACTGACACTACAGTATATCCAAACCGACACTGTAGTTATATCAAAATGATACTGTAGTTATAGTGAAATGAAACTGCAGTGTATATAAACTGAAACTGAATAACATTTTACATATTTGAGTGTATATTGTACAATGAAGCTGTAATTATATCAAAATGATCATGTAGTTGTGTTTTAATGAAACTATAGTGTATATAAAATAAAATTAAATAACATTTTCACATATTTGAGTCTATAAATATCGAATGAAACTATAGTTATATCGAAATGAAACTGTAGTTCTGTTCAACTGAAATTGCAGTGTATACAAAATGACACTGAATAACAGAGTTACTTGCAAAAGGGTGCAAAACGGCGGAAATAAACACTGTTAATTTTCATTTTTAAAAAAAATGACGCGCGGTGCATAATCGATTATGCACCGCGGTGCATAATATAATTTGCCGTCCTCAACTAAGGAGCTATGCACATTTATGGGCATAATATAATAATGAGCTATTTTTGCCTCACTTCTTCGAAACCATACATTAGAAATTTTGATCCTTCTTATTATTAAATTGCACCTACCTGGATTCTCAACATGGATATTTGATACGAACTCATATCAAACATGTATCAATTTGAGTCCGTGCCGACTTTGGGAAGAGAAAGAAAAATGAAAACATGAGGGAGAATATTGAGGTATGTTAGATATATTAAATATAATATATTTAATATAATATATATTAAATATAATATAATATATCTATAATTTATATTAAATATAATATGTATATATATTATATTTATATATATTGAGGAGAGAGAGGAATAGATAACTTGATTGATAATAAAAATTTGAATACAAAGATTATTTATACTAGATAAGATAACTCAAATGCTAAAATTAAGGAATTAATGCTCCATGTAAAGCTAACATCATGGCCATGTACTGCACCTATAATTACTCCCATTATTTTTAACCAATTAACTAACTACTTGGTTTAATATTACTAATAATAATAATAATAATAATAATAATAATAATATCATTATTATTATTATTATTATTATTATTATTATTATTATTATTATTATTATTATTATTATTATTATTATTATTATTATTATAACATTACCTCCTTTAAACCAAGTTGGATATACTGGTCATCCCAATATCTCTTTCTTCAATTTAAGAAATGTCTCCGTCTTCAAGTTGGATATACTGACTTGTATTTCGTTCTATAAACCCACTTTTCTCCAATTGGCTTCTTCCTAGGAGGTAAATCTGTTAACTCACAGGTACCACTCTTTTCAATGGCACGAATCTCCTCATCCATCGCCTTAAGCCAATGAATTTCTGTAGTAGCCTCCTCAACGGATAAAGGGTCACAATCTGCAAAAAGAGCAAATTGAATAATCTCTTCATCCGACAAGTCATTATCATGACCCAAAACATAATCTTGCAAGCGAGCTGGTAAGTGGCGCTCGCGCTGAGATCGTCGAACTGACGATTCTGGCTGTGAAGGAGACTGGACATTATCTGGAATCGGTTGCTCATCAACAATATTTTCAACAACAGGAATAACAACTGAACTTTCATCTTCAGCTAACCAATCCCAAGCACCATATTCATCAAAAGTGACATCACGACTTATAACAACCTTTTTAGTTTCAGGATTGTATAGTTTATAAGCCTTTGAAGCGTCACTATAACCAATGAATATGCATTTCTCACCTTTATCATCCAACTTCTTTCTCAATGGATCTGGCACATGTGCATATGCCAAACATCCAAAAACCTTGAGATATTTGATAGAGGGTTTTCTCCCACTCCATGCTTCTTCGGGTGTCTTATCACTGACACTTTTAGTTGGACACCTATTCAACACATAGACAGCACAAGCAACAGCTTCTGCCCAAAAAGGCTTAGACAGATTCTTGGATTTCAACATGCACCTTACCATATCCATGATAGACCTATTTTTCCTCTCAGCCACTCCGTTTTGTTGTGGAGTGTATCTAGCTGTCATTTGGTGCTGAATACCCTTCTTCTTCAGAAAATCATCACAGGCAATATATTCTGTACCTCTATCAGTTCTCAAGATTTTAATTTCATAACCACTCTTCTTTTCAACAAAAGCCTTAAATTGTTTGAAAACATCACATGCTTCAGACTTTTGCTTCAGAAAGTAAACCCATGTTTTTCTACTGAAATCATCAATGAAAGTAATAAAGTACTTACAACCTCCATGTGAGGGAACCTCCAACGAACATAGGTCTGAGTGAATAATCTCCAACTGTTTTGTAGCTCTCCTTGACTTGCCCACGAGAAAGGGATCTCTATGCTTCTTCCCAATCACACAAATCTCACAGATACGATCAGGGACATTCACAACAGGTAAATCAGAAACAAGTTCCTTTCTCGCAAGATAGTTTAACCCAGAGAAATGGAAATGCCAAAACCGCATATGCCATAACCAATTATCATCACAAACTTCATAATTAAAGCAATCAAGGAGAGTATGCTTAATTTTCAAAGGAAATAGTCGATTTTGGGACATATTTACCTTTGCAATCAAAACTCCTTTAGCATCTTCAATGGTACAACACCCTTGAGCAATATGTATCTTATATCCTTTTTCTGACAACTGACCCAAACTCAACAAATTTTGGTGTAGTTCAGGAACATTGAACACATCGGATATAAAATTGTGAGTACCATCCTTCAACTGAATAGAGATTTTACCTTTTCCCAAAATTGGCACCTTTGACTTATTGCCAAATGTCACTTCAGACCGGACTGATTCATCCAATTCAGAAAACAATTCTTTCTTCCCACACATATGGTTACTACACCCAGTATCCAAGAACCATATGTTTTTATCTGCAGAAAAACTATCGCTGGCTAAAAGTAAAGTTTCATAACTCTCACCAGACTTTTCAGCAGTATTTTCAGCAATGTTTGCTTGATTTCCACAATTG